TATATATATATATATATAACATGTAACTCTAAATGTTTTGAAAATTAATATATACATATAAAAAAAGAATGTTTTTATACCGGTAAGTCATAGCCTCAATTAAGAAAGGTTGCCCCTTTTTAATGCAAAGTTCACGGGCAGTTTTTGTTGCATAATACACAGCAAGAACATCATTACCATCTACACGAATTGTTGGTATACCATATGCTGGTCCTCTTGCTGCAATTCCATCCCCTTTGAACTGTTCTAAAGTGGAAGTTGAGATTGCATAACCATTATTCCGACTAGAAATAGACAGTGTTATCGAACATCTTTATAAACATATCTTTGAAGACATTTAATCTATTCTTCATGCTTTACTTATATAATGTACAATTAATTTTACCATATAAAAATAATCGGACATTCCAAAGTTGCAGCAAAATTGAAAGCTGCATGAGCATCTCCTTCACTAGCAGCTCCTTCACCAAAGTAACAAACTACACATGCATCTTTCTTAAATTGTTTAAGTGCATATGCTGTACCTACCGCTGAAAGTAAATATATCCAAATGTTAATAAATCAACATTATATATTGATACAACAATAAAAAATACTATGATGTTTTTAAGGAAATTTTTATATAGTTTAACAATAACAATAATAATTATAGTACCTTGAGGTAGTTGTGTTGTTAATGGAGATGATATAGTAACAAAGTTCAACTTCTTTGATCCATAATGAACTGGCATTTGTCTTCCCTTTGAAGTATCTTTGTGATTACCATAACACTGATTCATAAAATCTATGATAGGATATTCACGCCATAACAAGACACCTACAGAGTGATTTATATTAAATAACATTTACTTAACATTGTTAATTGTACAAATTAAGATTTTATACCAGCTTCACGATATTGTGCATATATAATGTCTTCCAATGAAACAGCAGCTGCAGAACCAATCTGAGTTGCCTCCTCTCCTATATTGGTCATGTAAAATGATATACGTCCTTGTCGCTGAGATTCATAGAGGATTTTATCCATTATATTCAAAGTAATCATTTTGCAATATATTTTAATAAAAATTTCCTCAGTTAACTTAAATAAAACAAGAGATATATATAATTGATAAATTAAAAACTATTTGCATACAATGTTAATAAAAATATTGGTATATTAGTTATTCAACCTTGAAATCTTTTGGTAACTGCACATCTTTAACCGAGTTTAAAATTCTAAATGTTGATACAGGATCATAATACTCTTTGTCAATAAATTTTAGTTCATTTGTAAAGATAGTTTCAATTCCTATGAAAGAAGGATCATTTGCATTAACAATAGTACCAATTTTAGCAGTGGTAGTTTTATGACTATAAGACTGCTGTGTCTAAATTCATAAAAAAAGAGAAAATTAAAAAATTAAAATTACTTTCTTCTTTTATTTATCATTTGTATTTCTACTATATTTACCTGTCGTAATATATTTTTGAAATATATTTGTTTTGCGTGCTTGAAAAAAATTTTCTCAATCATTGTTATTTGAACAATTTTAATTGACAATATTCAACCTTTTATCACGGTTATCGCTATCTGTCTTTGTTCCAAAATTTATATAACTATGCCGTGTAATATATACGCGTGCGCAAAAATAAGGAATAAAGAGGGGGATCTTATACATTTTCTTATCATTCGGGAACATTAAACTGTGCGAATAGTAACAGTTTGTAACGATGTCGAAAGAAACTAATGTGAAATTTTTGTTTACTGTGTGAAAATATATGGTCCATTAGTGGAATATGTCTTAAAAAGTTTCGGATAGAAATGAATAACTAGATTTCAGAAACAAGTAATCACAAATTGTACTTAATGATACAAACTAAAATAGAACATAGTCAACGATAAATATAAACTTAACCTTTTCTGTGTTTGGATATTTTCATGTAAGATAAAACGTTTTAATATAAGTGGAGAAAGAAAATGGATTCCTGGATGCAGTTAGATCTGTATGAATTAATTGGTGTAGAGAAAACAGCTTCTATTCAAGAGGTATAAACTTTCTTACGTTTTATCAACTTATGTATTGTTGTACAAAGTATCATTAGAATAATATGGAAATTTTCTGAAGTTTGCGATCCATTTATCCAATATATAGTATTATTTCAGATTAAGAAAGCCTATCGTAAGAAAGCTCTCTATTGCCATCCTGACAAGAATCCGGATAATCCGAAAGCAACTGAGTTATTTCATGAATTATCACGAGCATTGGAAATTCTCACTGATGTATCTGCTCGGGTAACTATATAAAATTATTATTACTATATGTAACTCATTGTTGTCTTCTTTAATTTTCTTGCTAATAATATGATTTCATTTGTATAAAATAAGGCAGCTTATGATAAAGTTATTAATGCCAAGTATCAAGCAGAATTACGTTCAAGGGAATTCGATTCGAAGCGTAAAAAATTAAAGGAAGATTTGGAAGCACGAGAAAATGCTTATAAAAGATCCATAAATACAGATTTCAATATTAAAAGTGATAAAGAAAAATTACAGGTAACTTATTTTAATTAAATTTATTATTTATCATTTCGTTTATCTTTCATCATTATAATTTTATTATGGCAGGCTGAAATAGAACGGTTACAGAAAGAAGGATCAAAGCAACTACAGGAGGAAATAGCGCTTATGAAAAAACATTTTGAAAAAAAATCAAAAGTATTTTGTAAAGAATCAGAAGTTGATAATGGTTCTTATAAACTAAAAGTGAAATGGAAGTCTCATAAAAATCAGTCTGACAATGGTAGATATGACTATGACATATTGTATCGAATTTTCTCAAAGGTATAGCATTACTAAAATACCATTTAAAATATTTTAGTCACTTTCTATGATTAGAAAGTATCATAATTACTATGCATATTTACTTTAAAATACCTTTGCTCATATAATTCTTTATTTTTAGTATGGGAATATAATTACACTTGTTATTTCTTCCACCAGAGAAGGTAGAGCATTAGTAGAGTATCAAAAACGAAATGATGCCGTATGTATTAATTTGCAGCATTCAAAAAAAGAAATATATACTTTCTTTTCATTTCTTTCTATTTACTTATGTATATATTTAAAAATAAAGAAATTATGTTTCTTTTATTAGGAAATGGCTCTAAGCATGGAACTTGGTTTAGCACAGAATCCACTTAAGCTTCAAAGATTATGGGATAAACAAATTGAATCAGATGCTTCTACTACCGGAATTGTTTACAATGATGCCAGTTTTACAAAACACGCGGTATGTTTGAATAATAATAATGATAATAATTAACAGATAATATTTATTCCCTTATTTTTATATTTGTACTTTATATTTGACGTTTAGTATAAATTTTGTATTATAGGTAAATCAAAGCATGTCAGATATTGAATTTGAACATTCTGTACTAAATAATTTAAAAAAAGCTGAAGAAAGAAAAAGATTTTTAGAAAAATTGAACACCACAGAAAACACTTGATTAAATATCTATATATTGATTACATTGTTTTATATGTTTTATTATGTAAAGTACTAAAAGATGTGTCTGGATACTACTAAGATTGTTTAGCCATTGATATATGGGTTATAAGGTATTGAAATGTACTGTTTGTATCTACATTATTAAAATAAGTAATAATATATGAATGTTCTATTATATAATTAATAAAAGAAAATCTTTATGATATTCGAATATATTTATCAAATATTTGTTTATCAATTATAACTGATTATTCAATTTCAACATCATATTGAATTTAACTCTTTTAATATTTAGATCATAGCTCAATTTGTTATAATTATTTCTATTTGCAGAAGAATTAAAAGTTAAGTTACAATGATATCTTTTCAATCCTTTTGTCTTTTTTGTTTTCTTAGTTCCGTTTCATCAATAGGAGCTGGTTTAGTGAATGGAATTTCATTTTCATATTCCACTGGCATAAATGGTGCAAGAACTTTTGGTACTTCGATACCAGTATCAGTTTGATGTACCTCCAAAATTGCACATATAACTCGAGTAACTGCACACATTGTGGCATTTAACATATGAACATAATCTGTATTGGTATTCATCTTTTTCGTTTGACCATATCTAGGATATCAATAAAACATTTTATTTGTAACAATGGTAAAAATAACAATAACGACAACAATAATAAAATGTAACTTGTATTAGTATTAGGATATATTACACAGTTTATTACCTGACCAGTAAACGTCTTGCTTGATAATCCAAACAGTTGCTACATGAAACAAGTTCACGAAATGCACCTGATCCTGGAAACCATGCTTCCAAATCTAATTTTTTTGAAGCAGCGTTATTCAATGCACCTGATACTATATTAACTATACGATAAGGAATGTTTAAAGTACGGTAAAACTCTTCTGCATTTGTAATCATTTCTTCCATCATATGCCAAGACTTATTATCATATGGTGACGTTAAACAGAATTGCTCCACCTATTGTTCATACATATATAATATGTAAATTGATGTTATCCCTTACAACAAAGTTAAAGTTGCAGGTACCTTTTCAAATTGATGAACTCTAAAAATGCCTCTGGTATCACGTCCATGAGATCCAACTTCTTGCCTAAAACATGTAGATAATCCAGCATACTTAATTGGTAAAATATTCTCAGGTATCCATTCATTTCTATGAAATGCAGCTATTGGTTGCTCAGATGTAGCGATCAAATATTTTTCTTCAATTTCCTTATCATCATTTCGTTCGCTACCCTTACCAATTATCTACATAGAGTTTTAAATGTGATTATTGTTTATACATTTGTATATATAATTAATTATTCTATACCTTGTATAATTCTTCATCAAACTGAGATAATTGTGCTACTTCCTGCATTACATCTTTACGCATAAAAAATGGTGTATAAAGTGGTTTATAACCATTTTTTGATAATTGTCTAAGAGCTAATTGAATTAATGCATGTTGTAGAAAAACTGCTGGTCCTACTAAAAAATAACCACGCCCTCCTGAAACATTAGTACCACGTTCTCCATCTATACCATCAATCATATGTATTAAATCAACATGAGAATATTTCTTTCTTTGTGTACAATCTCCATATGTTCTCTCAACCTAAAATTAAATGCAATCATTTTTTTATAATCTATACAACAAATAAACTTCATTGCATTAAATCATATATACTTTATTTTCATCTTCATCATTACTAATTGGTACAGATTCATGTAACATATTCCCTATCTCTTTAAGAGCGCGATTTCTTTCAAATTCAGTCAAAACTAAATCTTTCTCATTTGTTCGAATAGCATCATCAATAAAACTACGGACAGTTTTAATTTGAGCAACTGTTAATGATTTCAAATTATTAGGTATTAAATTTTCTAGGTTTTCAAGAATATCCTTTGATACTTTATCATCACCATCCACTGCTTCTTTCTTTTTCATTTTTTCTCCAATTTCTTTACTGCATACATTTTTTAACTTATTTAAATTGTCAGCCTTATGTCGCAGCTGACGCCAAATTTTGTCTTTCTCGATCACCGTGTCGACTAGATCTACTTGTTTAAAACGTTTCTTTTGATTTTCTCGCACTTTATCCGGATCAAAGCCTTTATCTTTCCGAAAAAGATCTAAATCTAGTACCATGATTAATGATACTAGAATCACGTTTTTCCAAGCGTATTAATTTACTGTTAATGTCAATCGAATTACACGTGCACTCAATGATATAGAACACGTCAGTCGAAAATCATATCTTCCAACTCACCGTTCACTATTCACTGACTGTATTCGACACTGATGATTCATATACGCATGCGACGCATAGCGAACATTCAAAACAAGGTGGTAATTGGTACCAAATTTAAATAAATAATGCTCTATAAAACCTTATATTGTTTTTCCTTTTCCTTCCTCTTTTTTTTTAATAATAATCATTTGATAATTTTTAAACATTAAATAATTAAATAATTTTATTGTCCTTTATTCAAAGAACAAAATGTGAATATAGACGTGCGACCAGTGAAATTTATATTGATCTATAGAATTTTGTTTCCCAAATATTTGCTAATTCACTAAGTCCTACGATATATAAAAAAGCAAATAATTAAAAACTTTTATCAAAATAAACATAAACTATAAAAGAATAAATTTTGTACTGTAAATTATAAAAAAGCTGATACATTGTCGATTATAAATCCAGTTATATATGTGGATTGTAACCGATCTTCATTACTATTATAAGATGTATTTGAATTAATATAACATTAATTTATATATATTTTTAAACTTAAATAAATCTCGTTCATTTACATAATATATTAAGTCAAATACAAAAGTATGAAGAATACCGCTAATTGACAGTATATAAATTATTACAAAATTTCTAGATTATAATCGCAACTTTGTAATTTACATTTCATTGGGAAGAAGAAAACGAAAGAGAAGTTTTATAAGAACAATAAAAAAAAATGTTATACTTATTTCAATTTTTTTTTTTTTTTTTTCAGCTTTTCGTTAGAAATATACATGCATTTTATTAAGTTTGCGCATGCGCATCGTCGTTATTCATGAAAAGGTTCAAGAACTTAGAATATAGTAAGGTGATATGCAATGATAACGTTTGACTTCTTCGATTAAGCAAACATTAATTAATAAAAGAATAATACGTCGTAAGTTTAGCGTAATAAATGAAAAATCAGGTATAGTGTAAGCAGAAAAATTGTGGATTCGAATAGTCAGGTTGGTTGTGGCTATCGCACAAATTTTGATCTTTAATGACATAACCTGATGCGTTTGTCAATTGATTGATGGATTTAAAATATATAATGTATTTTTTTATAAAACAAAATAATAATTTGCAAAGTTGTTGCAGGAGTATTGATAAAACTAATTGAATACAGCATATCTAATATTACATGACATACACGTTCATGTATACAAAACATTAGTTACTATCTCGTTTCCTTCTCCCCTCTCCCCGTTTCTTCGTTTCCTTTCTTTACTAGTTATCCGTTGTAAGTTGATAAACAAATATAAGTTTATCTGTAATATATGTAATTTTGGGAATTTTATATACATATTATCCACTCAAGGAAGTAATAATGATTTGGCAGTACAAGCTGTACATTTGAAATTCTTGTTTCAGATACGGTATAGTAATAGACATTCCAACAAAACATTGGGGCATAATTAATGTTGATATATAAGGCATATTTACATACATAAAAGCCCTACAACTTAAAGGCGTACAGCTCTACGCTAGACCGGTGAGTTCCAACACAAAATATTGCTTGGTAGTACGGCGGACACTCAAAGCCAACTAACCATGTCTGTACAAAGTGTTGCTCTGGCATCTCTCACGGCCACCTATACCGACTCGGAGGGCGAAGACGGGGTGGAAGACGACCTTCAGGAGAATTCGAACACTCCCCAGGGGGCCGCCCCGCATAATGCCCAAGTCGGTCAGCCCCAGGCTTTCACCAGTCCCAAATCTGGCACATCAGCCTCAAATAGTCCCGTTGTTGCTCCCAGCGTCGGTGGCAAGTCTAGTAACGATTTGTCGAACGCGCCCACCTTAGTAACAGATGTGACATCTAAGGTGCAAAGATTGGTTTCATACTTTGATGATACAATAGTCTCCGATGACGAGGGAGTGATACAAACACAGATCGATGGGCAGCCTTTTGAAAATGGAAGGCCCTCCTCGATTATGGAATGCTCTCCCTGTTGTCAAGGAGAACAATTAGTTTCAGATAGCGAGGTGGATCCCTATGGCGTCACTATACCACCGGAACCGCCAGGGCAGTGTCCTGTGGAGCTACAGGAGAAAATAACAAAACTTTTTAGGAAAATGGAAAGTGGTGGTTTAGATATGAACAAAGTTATACAACAGAGGAAGGATTTCCGAAATCCATCTATTTATGAAAAGCTTATTCAATTTTGTAGCATCAATGAACTGGGTACTAATTATCCTCCAGATAGATTTGATCCCTTCAAGTGGGGCAAAGATTCCTATTATGAGGAACTTGCCAAAGTACAAAAGGCTGAAATGGATAAACTTGAGAAGGCTAGGAAAGAGAAAACAAAAATTGAAATTGTTTCTGGTACAGCTAAACGGCCCAATAGTTCTAGCACAGTAGAAGATGATGCTAAGAAAAGGAAAAGTAAGTGGGATCAAGTTGCAACAGGAGCAACTGCTTCATTAAAGCCAACTGTTCTGTTATCCCAACCGACTCTTACGACATTAACATCGTCTGCAACTGGCACCAAAGCAACGGTAATATCTGCTTTTGGATCTTTACCAAAGAAAAGACTGTAACATACCTTGTAAATCATTTGTAAATATTACGTTTTTTGAAAAAGCAACACTTCATTCTTCATTTAATTTTATACCGTATACAAAAGAAAACTACAGCGAATTTCTCAAAAATGTGTATACAGACTCACGAAAATTACGATTGTATATTCACATGGCCATATGTGCCATCTATAAAAGTGACTTATCATATTTAATTATTGGTTTCATTGAATTTAATGATATGATATTTAATTTCATGTATGATGGCATAAAATATTTTGAAGATATATTACTAATATGACTACTATCAAAGTGGTATATCAACAAGGATGTACAAAGTGAACAAATTTCCTGTCAGAAATATGAAAAACTACAGGAAAGAGAGAGAGGGGGGGAGAGAAAAAGAAGTAACAATAGCAATTAAAGAGATTCTGAAATTAATGAACTGGAAAATGGGAGATTGACCAATCATTACATTGAGTTCCTTCATACTTTCATTTTATATAAAATATTTTAAATTAAGTATACGTTCTGATATTTATGCCCTTCGTATGATATTTTTTCTACACTAATAATGTTTTAATAGATTGAGATAAAACTAAAATAAAAACAAGGGAAAATAAGAAAAATACGATAACAACGATAATATTAACACAAAGGGGATTCTTTTTATGAATAATACATGTTAGTAGGCTTCTATATCATGATGTTGATCAGTGAACAATCTTCTTGAAATATTTTGTTCATTGACAAAAATAATAAAATAATATTGTAAAATATGTACATTATAAATGTGCTGCCATTGCGAGAAACTTGAGAATCGAGCCAATTAAGATTAACATGAAAAATTTGTAATTATTATTTGTAAACATATGTGTAACAGACAAATTCATTGATTAAGAGTTAGAGTTGATTTAATTTTCTGTAAATCGAAATAAATGATTATTAGTGATACTTTTATACGAAAGATTTGTATGATTAGAAATCCAGTGCCCTGTATCTGCTCATGAATAATTAATTTGTTTTTAAAATACGAAAATTAATATACAACCGTGAAAATGAAGGTTCAAAGGTGAATGAATTATATATCATCGTGTGTGTGCGTGTGCGTATGCATGTGTGTTTATTTATTTGTTTGTGTGTATAATTTATATATATAGCTATTTATATAATATATAATAGATAACACGCGCGTGTATATGAACTTATAACTACAAAACTTATGTTAAATTTAAAGTTAATTATGTTTCAATTCTTATTGAGATATATATGCATAATGTATTCCATACAAGCATATAAAGATATAATCGCCATTCGATACTATGTCCATACATCATTACTTTTTTTTTTTGCCAAGGGGACCCTACATACGTGGACATCGCTCTTGGAACAGTAGTAAGTAGGTATAAGTTATACTACATACCTTGTATTGGAAAACCTTAATGGGTTTCTTTATGATGCTTTTTGCATCTTATGATGCGAATTGCTTCGTCAAGGCAGATCCTTCAAGAACTTTCGTATATAATTTTGGATATAAATATGTTGCTAATTAATTAATTATTAGTGATTATTGCACAGAGTGTTTGAATTCTTGCCGTACATACCAATATTTTTTCATTAATTACCCTCTTCTGCGCAACCAATTTATGAACTTCATGTACGCATTAGAAAAACAGTGTCCTTGCGCATCTTCTCATATCATATTTGATCACACTCTACTTCTCGTTTTGTCTGTAATTAATTATATTGTTGATATCAATGGTTGATATCAAATCACGTATGCCATCAAATAATAATTAATAACTAACTAATTCATATCAAATTATGTACGAAAATTACATAAGAATGTTGTTCAAAGTTTCAGCTTCACAATGCAACTACAAAAGTTCACAAATTAAGTACAGAAACTTCGAAATTTGTGATTTTTCACTGTCGCATCCCCCTATCCTTTTCTAACAAATTGTTGTCCTTGTCTATCACGTAAAGAGGTTTAGACGACTTTATCGTGCATTCTGTGTTCCTGCTATTTTCTTCAGTTTTCGGTCCAAAATCATAGATGGAGCTGATCACAGTCGAAGAATCAAAAACCAAATGACGCGTAGAACGCGAGAAACAAAACAATAAAATGGTATAAATAAGCATAACACATTTTAATCCCTTCTCTTTATTCTCTTAACAGACCGATGAACGTGAAGTTACAGATGAAGGCGAGTGATTTTGTTCTTAATAAAAATAAATTGAAATTACGATGGTTATATGCTTAAGTATTTTTTATTCACTTTGAAAGTTTCACATATACACGTTAATTGTTCCGATGGACTTGCACTCTCCTTGTTAGTTCTACTGG